ATACATACATACATACATACATACATACAGACATACATACATACATACATACATACATACATACATACAAACAGACACACCAAACTTGTGGATTATATATGCAGAGATTGGACCTCAGTAATGCTTCATCGTTCTTTGACGCCTATCGAGATAGAGAACTAATAGAAGAGAGCGCCTCTCTATATTTTGAAAGATGGCCGTATAAAAACCGTCGAATGACTCTTGGACGGTTCACTTCAATGCCCAATAAACGTTACCGTCTCGTCCGTGACATCAAAACCAGGGCGTGCCATCCGACCGATACGGCAATGGAGCTCCTATTATGCCCTCGCGTTTGAATATTTGGGCCTGGCAGGGTCCTTTCTGTTACCCTTTGTGGCCAATGAATAATCCTTAGGGGGAAACAGAAACCATTCCTATCGTGAGCTGTGCCTTCAAGCGTCAGCGTCTGCCTCAGACTATTAGTACCTTGTGCATCAACGGTCTTGTTGCATCTAATAATTTTGAACAGTGAGGGTGCGGGTTTTGCATAGCTCTTTTTCGTACATCGTCGGCTTACGAGTCTTCCTTTGACTGCTGAGAAGTTTTCATTGAGTATGACCTCCTGCTTCATAGGTTTCTTTGTTCCTCTTTAGCTTATGTATAGTTCTTAATAGTTATGGTAGTAGTTTCTTTTATGCTACGTGATCGATGATCATCCAGAAAGAGAAAAACGCGCAATCCTCCGGCGTGCCAAAAAACTAAATACAGCCTTTTCTCATCTTTTCTCTTCTTACTGAGAAAGAATTATACAGGCATCTACCAGATGGAAAATTCTTGTGAATTACTTGGAGAGATGTGATCATTAGTTCAGTGTTTGAGCTTAAGACACTGTTTCAGGTGGAAGTACTCGAGCCGGACAATGCAGCTATGAAATATGCCCTGGAGCAGGCGAGGGATTGTGGTTTTGAGGTTCGTTCGTTGAAAAGTTCTAAAAGTGGCAAGATAGGTGGTGGTTCTAAAAGCCCGCCCAAGTAAATGCCCGTATACTGCGCTTAGGCGCTTTCAGAGTACAGCGACAAACGCCACTGACTTAAGAGCATCGAGTGCTAGCAGTTGGCGTCAGCCGGTGGACTTCAGTGCTCATGGCGTCTGCGGTGCCGCTAATGGCCTTTGCGTTGGAGCATGTTGATTACCGAACCGAGCTGCGCAGAGCTTTTTCATTATTATGTACTTTTGTAACAATAGTCGAAAGAGATAAAGTCTCTGTGCGACGGGTGAATGCAAGAAGGTCGAGCGTTAGCGCTTGCCACTCAACGCTCCTGCCTTTGAGGCGCCTGACGCTGCACTGTGAGTGATGCGCATCGGATTTATTTGGTGCATAGTACCATGCCATTGATTTCACCTTCATTGTGGTCATCGACAGGTGGTGTCGCATTATTGCAGATGATCGTGTGGATTCAAAGTTTTACCTTTCATTATCGGAATTAGAGTTGCAGTAACAATTGTGTTGGTTTCTGCGTAGCGTACGTATCAGAAATATCTGTAGCTTATCTACGGACGTTGGCTTATTGATGGGTACCCGAAAGTTGTTCTGTTTGATATAGGCTCAGCGGCTTGGAAACTAGATCAGTGGAAGCATGAGGTGAGCATGTCTTACTTTCTAATCGAACCTTACTTCTACCTAACTTCTACTGGTTAAGATGTGGGGAGTAACAAAGGTAGGAGTACCATGGCATGACCGCGAGTCGAACGATTGCATTATCCTTGGCTTCATGGTGGCTATATTCTTGCAGAAGGTTAGTCATAGGGAGCCCACACATTCTAAGTGCTAGAACTGGAAAATTCTAATCCATTACACAAAATTGCTTTTTTTAGTTCGCTGATGCAATTGCATCAACTCAGCCGTTAATCGTGGCTCACTTTCACGAGTGGCAGTCGGCTGCGGGCCTTATCATGAGCAGGTTTGAGCTTACCTTCTTACCGTTTTCCCTTTGAATCTTCGCCTTTATATAACTACATCCTTCATATTACTTCCTTTGATGATCCTTAGTTGCAAGTGGGATGAGATCAAAGAGGTTTAAATGATATTCTGCACATGAGAAAAACCTTAGTGAGGGTAAAAGTGCAATCGATTCTCAAGGAACTGGACACTTCAAAGTTGGGCGTGCAAGTGAGGATTTTCCAACCATTCCGGCATGTCTATAGTTTTGCATAAGAACTGTGGGAAGTATATCGATGAGCAGGTGCCCTTGAAACCTCGGCCGGGATGTTATATCTTTTTTCATTGAGCTAACCACCTGCGTGGGCTACAACTGCCACCAGCTTCATGTTGGGGGCCAGGTAACTCGGAGCCGACCCATTGCGATGTTGTTCAAATAATCAGTTTGAAATGTAAGCTCACAGGTCCTACATCCAGGGTGGGTTCCTACTTGTAACTCACGAGACCTTTCATTTTAGGTTATTTATATAAAGTGAGGATACCTGACTTCGGCTGATGTCTGAAACGTAGGTCGACAAGGATGAATCTCAAATATTGTTGGCTTCCAGGCCCTGACGAAAGTGACAAGGCTGTGGCCCTCCCGATAGCCTACCCTTCTTAAGGTGGTGGGAAGATGAAACGCGCGGCGTGTAAGCGTGTGCTCTGCAACCACTCAACTTATGTAATTAAAATAACTCTGTGTCTTTTTCTGATTTTTAGTATTGCATTATGTGCTCTAATGCGAAGTTTCGGTATTTTCCAGTCATGTTGGAGTTTATATTTACCGGCTTGCTGCTTCGCGTTTGGAGCTGTGCTTAGATAGTTGTCTAGGAACTGATTGAGTGACGGCCCCTTATTTGAGTCCTCTTTATCCGTCCTCATGGAGTCGTGGATGAATTCGCTCCTCACTCGTCAACTTGCACACAGCAAGCTACCGGCACATCATGTCTGAATCATGCATTCCGTAAGGCCAAGGCCTTGCTTGGTGAAACATCCGTCTACGACAACCTTTTGCTCTGTCCCATGCCTTCGTCTTTACCATCAGTTATTGACCGAAAGCACTCGTGCCAACGTTTTCTATGCTCGAAAAATTTTGCGTCGGAGCCTTGGTTGTCTTATTCATTAATACATATTTATGCAAGCATACACTGCGTTCAATAATTATAAAATCACCTAAGAATTTCGCCAAGCTCACATTCCAGGGCACTTCAGAAGTCAGCATGAAGTGTGTACTATTCAAATCGTAATCTAAATACCAAAAAGAGGTTCCATCTCAATGGCGAACAACTTCCTTCTTCATTTTTGAAAGAAAGGTCGATGTTTCAAAATTATACGGCCACCAAACAAATCATTTTATTCAGCATGACAACAAAGAAAAGAGTTGCGTGATGAATATTCGATTAGGCCCCATTCCTTCGAATTAAGTAACTAATACGATTAACTAGGCTGAAGAAAAGGCTATCAATGAGTACCTAGTCAAATTGATGCTAAGCATCGACGTTGCATCCCTCAGCTCACTAATGCCTCGAACTGCTTCTTCCTTCATAAATCTTCCTCAACATGAATCCCAATATGTTTTTCATTGGCTTCAATTCAGGGCCAGTGTGAAAGATCGATTGGGTGCCAACTAAACCAAGCCTGGGTGCTCAAGGCGACGTAAATGGGACAATATCCTGCACAAATACGAGACTTCCGCCGATTCTGACGCGAGAAAGGAAGGGGTATGGGAAAATTGTGCGGTCGCACCCACCTTTCCCCGCACCTAGGCGCGAAGTGACCTCTATCAGGTGCAAGACTCCGTGGTTATTATGCTGCCTGCCTATCGTTACTAACCGAGTCAAAACTTATCAACTACTGAGATGGTTTCTATAGAAAATAAGTTTTCTTGACGGAAAAGTTCCAACATCACTCTTTTCTCGAGTTTTATTTCCGTGCATAATAAGTGAATTCAATATATTTCTTTTAAAAGTCCCTGTAAGATGGGAAGAATTGGGTTCAATTTGTAGACCAATAAAAAAACAAAACAGAACCTAAAATACATGAGTGACAAACCCCGTTAGTTTTGTTCGTTGCGAATCTGGACATCTTCATGCAAAACTCTTGAATTTCAAAGCGTCTTGCCCTTTTTTTAAGTTTATCGAATCAAAGGAAATGTGCATTAGTTACTTGCGTTCCAAATAAGAGGAACTTCTCAAAAAAACATTTTCGTTTCTTCGTGTATATTTTCTTTTCTATTGGGTGATTCTTTCGCAGACTTCTGGCTCTCTGTGGAGAGGAACTCTCAATGTTATTTCCATCCTATCACTTGAGTGAAGATACCTTCCCGATTTCCGAAATCCTTACTTCTTTTGAGCGTATAGTGGTACTTCGTGCTTTATAATTGAGCCCCTTTTGTGGTTGTGTGAAACTTGTGGAATGGCCTGAATGATGAACCAAGGGGCTTCCACTATGACCTGACTGTCGAGATTTTGGGAGCGAGAGGGTCCCTTCTACCACTCATGGGGAGCACTGAGTATTCCTAAGGGAAGAACTCAGTAACGATTTTCATCGTGAACCGTGCCTTCAATGATCACCAACGAAGAGCGGTCTCAGTATTGAATAATTACATCGCTTTTGTTAAGGTTGTCTCATATATCACAGATGAGCGGAATCCAAATAAAAACAAGCAAATTGAACCATTCCTTCCCATTTTGCAGGAACTCGAATTGAAGTCTAATGAATTTAATCATTATGCGCATTAATGAAACTTTCAAAACCAGTGATGTTGGAATTTTTCCTGTCAGAATATTTCCTATAGAATTTTCTTTTTAAATTTTTCTATAGAAGCTCCACTTTTTCTAGTGTCATTATTCTCAATAAGTTCTAACTGTATGGTAGTTGATAAGCTTCAACTTGATTAATAACGATCTACAAGCAATGTAATTACCATGAGCGTTCAGAAAGGGGCAATCTCAATGTTTCACTGGGTTTCTTTCAGGGCGTGGGACGCTTTTTGAAAATGGTTTTTTGCATGGTGTAGGGGCATGAGCACTGAGTATATAACTATGATCCATTTCCGCTAAATGGCCTTCTGAATGCTAAAAAAGGAGTGAAAATGATTTTGCCAGGAATTGCCGTCTGAACCCGCTAAGCGTCATTCGTTTTATTCACGGTGTCGACTATCAGCACTATAGAAGGGGCCAGCGGAGGCGACATTGAAAAGAACGTGAACGGTATTCATAAAAGGAACCCACATGTTGAAAA